CGATGACAGGACTTGTTATTCTCTGTGGATACTGTAATTCTATACCTCTCTTTGTCAATGCAAAATTATACTCAAAGTGAATTAAATTTCTTCTTCAAATATTTCAATAATACTTGGCCAACAAACCAACAAGCATTACAACTCTACAACAAATTAAAATTTATTATTAACTAACTACAAACAAACAATTTACTTATATCTGAGGAAATAAATCTCTTATATCTTTATACTAAACATTGTGGTTTTAATTAGGCTAATAGTAAAAAGCCCAAATCTATTATCTATTAGGACCAATTTCAAATTATTGAACAAGGATTTCCTGAACTTCCCACTCCAATCTATTATCTTGAAGCACCAAATCCTAATAACTCTAGTGGAATAATTTATAATCTACCTCCAAAACAATCTAAAATCTCTTATCACTTTTATACTTAATACGAATTTGAAAATTTAAATAAATACGAGTATGATTTAAATTCTAGAATTAGCTTAAAGGACAGTATTAACGATTTGTTTAAATTCTGTTAACAATCTGGTTTTACAACTTGGCTTAATTAAAATATTTGAATAAATATTTTAAAATATCAACAACAAATACATGAACATGATTTTATATATCAAACTAATCGATATATATCTCAGAATAAATTAAAAGAAAAACCTGATCTTAGTTGCTTATTTTGCTATCTTTTACAAAATCATACAACTCCTTTATCTTTTCTTCAATTTTGGAAGTGGTTCTCAAATACTTATAAAGCTACAGTATTTAACTCTAACTCCTATTGGGCTTTTATCCATATAAATATAGATGAAGCTGACAAGACAAATATATTGAACAATTAGTTATTTCTTGTTGATATCAAAACAATAATCCAACAAAAGAATTCTCTGAAATAATTACTGATATACAAAATATTTGGAATGAAAAATCAGGATTTTTAAAATCTACACCACCAAGTTTAGCAACACCAAGTGAGGAACTTAATTCTGATATTGAAAGCCAACCTGATAACTATTCAACTATAACAAACCAAACTAATAATCTTGATATTGACTACATGAGTTCTCTTAGTAACAATTCTTGGGATAATTAAAACAATAATCATGAGTATTTAAGTACTATTCAGGAAGAAAGTGACAATATCAAATCAGTCTATACAATATTACATCTTGATCCTGAAAAATCTGCTCAACTTCGACAAATTCTTAAAAGTCAAATGTCTAGTTATTTTAATAATAATAATAATAATAATGGTGAAGGGACTAGTAGAATCAATCATGATAATAAATTTGAGGAACCCTCTTCTAATCCAAATGAACCAGCAGAATTACTTAAAAGTATACTCTTAGGTCTAAAAAATGCTCTTGAAATACATCCTACTACAACAACTACTACCTTTAAAGAAACAAAACTTATTGAATTTCCTATATTTAAAGAAGGTAATGATAACCCTGTAACTTGGTTTGAAGCTTTTGAAAGGGCATGTGAAGCTAACAATGTTAGTGCAGCTCCTCACAAGCTTAAACTTGTTCCTAATTTTCTAAAAGGAACTGCTTTAGTTTGGTATAATAAGAATAAGGAAAACATTTGATATTAGAACTATCATCACTCTGATGAAACAATACGTCAGTCTTTTAAATATCAATTTGAACAACAATTTAGAAGTCCACATAGAGTTAATCAATGGTTTTATTCCTTGAAAAATCGAAAACAAAAATCAGGTGAAACAGTTGAATCGTATAATATATCTTTAGAGGAATTATAGTGTAAAGTTGACTCAAGGAATACTTATTCTGATGAAGATAAAAAAAGGCAGTTTATTGATAGATTACATCAGGAATTCTATATTCTAGTTGAATCTGCAATATCTAGAGATCATGATGAAGCTATTGAAAAAGCTAAAGCTATTGAAGTAGCTTTTTCAAAAGGAAGTAAACTTTCTTTATACTCTCTGTTACCTAGAACTCATCAACCTCAATATTATAATAGTTATAATTATAATTCTACTTCTGCTAATTTTGATGAAATGATAAATACTAAACTTTTAGTAGCAGTACAACAAATATTAGGAAAATTAGACAAAGCAAAAACAACTACACAATCTACAACCCCAAGTTCAAATTATTATAATAATAATAATCACAATGATTAAAATAACTAGAACAATAATTATAATAATAATAACCAAAATAATAATTTTAACTCTAGACCAAAGAATAATACTTGTAATAGGTGCAATAAAGTTGGATACTTTGCTGCTGAATATAGAGCCCCAATATGCACTAATTGCAACAGGATTGGATATTTAAATAGAAATTGTCGACTCAATCAAAATTGGAGGAATAATAATAATTATTGTCCTAATAATAATAGGAATTCTAACTAACAACTTAATAATAATAATTATCAAAATCAAAATAATATTCCAAATCAACAAAATAATCAACAAAATAATCAACAAAATAACTAACAAAATCAATAACCTTCTAATCAAAATAACAATAATCAAGGTCTTAATAATAATTAATATTAAAATTTAAACTAAATAGGACATCTTCTGAGGGTGAGCATATCACTAAATCAAATCCCTCTAACCAAATTAATGAAATATTAGGAGAAGTAGATGAAGTTGTAAACAAAGATGATACTTATATGGACTATATAAATATATTTGATAATGATGATAATATAAATACCCCAACTATAAACAACAAGGACAATAATATATATCTTAATTATAACTCCTGGCTTGAGGATGAAAATTTTGAAACTGTTGAAATTAAAGGATTAAATGTTGAATTTGAATAACAAAATGAAAACCAAAATAATAATCAAGTTGAAGATACTCTTTTCGCTATAGCAATAATCTTTGAACAGGAAATAAATGTTCTTATTGATACAGATTCTAAAGGATGTGTAATTTCCAAACTATTCTTGGATAAGCTTGGAAAACAAATTGATGCTCCTAGTAATGTTTGAGTAATTGACATTACAGGAAATAGGTCTATTCTATTAGGAAAAGTAAATCAGGTTCTAGTCAAAATAGAAACTGTTGAAACAACAATTAATATAATAGTAACTGAGTCTAAGGAATATAATATAGTTCTAGGAAATGAATATTTGAATAAAGTCTAAACAGTAATTGACTTTCGGTTAGGTCTAATATCTCTTAGATTAGATGACAACCCTGAATATATTCCAATAACTTGTTGGAATAAAATTGAAAATGCAAACCAATTCTATCTTATTCAATTCAAACAAATATTTGATAATAACTTTGAATTGGAACTTGAGGATGATGATAATTATGATGATACAAATAGATACTTCAGTACTAAAATTAAAGTCAATGACAACTTTACCCAAATTAATAATAACATGGTTCCAAATATCCAAGTAAAAAATATTGAGGACAAATGTAATAATTATGATGATATATTTAGAATAATTAAACCAGAAATTGAGGAAATTTCTAACAAGCAGCAAAAACATATTGAAATTCCTATTTCTGAAAACAAAACTAAATATATTGGAAATAACTTGAACAATAAACAAACTACAAAAATATCTAATTTTCTAAAAGAAAATAATGATATTTTTGCTATTAAGTTCTCTGAACTTAAACAAACAAATGTAATTTATCATACTATTAACACTGACAATAATTATCCTATTAAACAATAATTTTATTAAGCTGCTCCAAATGAACAACAATATATTAAGGAGAAAATTGACAAAATGCTAGAGGATGGAATAATCCAAAAATCAATAAGTCCTTGGAGTTCTCTAGTTGTACTTGTTAAAAAGAAAAATGGAAAACTTTGGTTTTGTGTTGACTATAGGAAACTAAACTCTATAACCAAAAAGGATACTTACCTTTTATCTAAGATTGATGAAATATTAGATAACTTAAGCAAAACAAAATAGTTCACTTCTCTTGATTTAACTTCTGGATATTAGCAAGTTGAAGTTAAAGAAGAAGACAAGGAAAAAACAGCATTTATTACAAAATTTGGGCTTTATGAATTTAATGTAATGCCTTTTGGACTTTGTAATACACCCTTTACATTTCAAAGGTTAATAAATATAGTTCTTGAACCAGTACTTTGGAAATATGCTATGGTATATATTGATGATGTAAACATATATTCTGAATCATTCAAACAGCATATCCAACATTTGAATGAGGTCTTTAACTTAATCAAAGTTGCAAACTTAAGGGTTAATCCTGAAAAATGTCATTTTTGTATAAATGAAATGCAATTTTTAGAATATATAATAGGAAGTAAAGAAATCAAACCTAATCCCCAAAAGGTTAACAAACTTAAAAATTTACCTCCTTCCAAAAACCTAATACAACTACGTGCATTTATTGAACTGGCATCATACTATTGAAGATTTATTGAAGAGTTTTCTAAAAAGGCAGCTACACTAAACAAATTATTACAAAAGAATGTAGAATTTAAATAGACTCAGGAATGTAATAATATATTTAACTGGCTTAAACAAAGTTTAATTACACCACCTATTCTGCAATATCCTAACTATAATGAACTATTTATTCTCTTTACAGATGCATCTTATCAAGGCTTAGATACAGTACTATCTCAAGTTAAGGATAATAAAGAATATGCAATTGCATATGCAAGTAGGACATTATCAAAAGCTGAAGCTAACTATAGTACTATTGAATTGGAATGTTTAGCAGTAATATGAGCAGTAAAATATTTTTGACATTATATTTTTGGAACGAGATTTACTCTAATAACTGATCACAAAGTATTACAATAGCTACTAAACTCATATACAATCAATGATAACAAAAGGATAACTTGATAGCAGTTAACTCTACAGGAATACCAATATAATATAAAATATCGTGCTGGTAAACAGAATAACAATGCTGATTTCTTCTTACGTCTACCTGAATATTTAAAGGATAATAGATGAACAACTATATCAAACAATTTATAACTTTCTTACAACTCTCGAATACCCTATGAACTACTCTAATTTGGAAAAATCTCACTTACAAAAAGAAGTTAAAAATTATTTTGTTGAAAACAATATTTTATTTAAAAGGAACAAGGATAAGCCTCAATGTATAATCTAACCTAATCAAAAACATATAATACTCTACTCTCTATATGATGAACAAGGAACACATCTAGGAATTAGTTCAACTTATAACAAAATCAAGGAATGATATTTTTGGCCTAATATATATAATGATATCAAACAATATATCCAAACTTGTGATATATGCCAATGTCATAGACATGAAATTATTAGGTAGGATCTAATCCCTATTCAAGTAAAAGCCCTATTTTATAGGATTGGAATAGATATTAAAGGATCTTTACCAATCACTAAACAAGGCAACTGATATATTATAGTTGCTATGGATTACTTAACTAAATAGCCTGAAGCTAAAGTAGTAAGTAATATTAAAGCTACTACTGTTGCTAATTTTATCTATGAGGAAATAATCTGTTAGTATAGAACACCTACAATTCTACAATTTGATCAAGGATCTAATTTTATAAGTGAAGTTATATGACACTTATGTCAAAAATTTCAAATTAAATATCATAAATCATCTGCTTACTGATCTCAAACTAATGGAATAGTTGAACATTTTAACCAAATAATAGGTGAAGCATTAGCAAAAATAATAAGCTACAAATACAAGGAATAAGATGAAATTCTATCTTTAGTATTACTAGCTTATCGAACAACAAAGCACTCTACTACAAAATTCTCTCCATTCTCTCTAGTATATAGAAGGAAAGCCAAACTCTCTATTGAAATAATAGTTAAAACTTATTATAATAATAGTGAAACTGAAATAACTCTAATTAAACAAATATTTAAAATTGAGGATATCTTTCTAAAACAACAATATGAAACTCTCTATAATATACAGAAAGCTCAAATCACTCAAAAGGAAAAATATAACAAAAATATTAAAATTAACAAACTAAAAATAGGTAACAAAGTTTTAGTTGCAAAATCTCAACTTAAAAATATTTTCTTAGCAAAATTAGAGAAACAATTTATAGGACCATATATCATCTATAATATTTTATTATTAGGAGTTTATAAACTTCGAACATTTGATAGTAAAAAAGTTAAGGATCCTGTATATGAGAATAGGTTAAAATTATACTTTAATCAACTAATTAGTGATCTACCTATACTACAAATTATCATACCACAAACTAATAATAATTAGTAGATTGTATTTCTTAAATTTTTATAAATATAGCCTATATCTCTCAAAAAAATTTACAAAAATCCTATACCTTAAAAACTTTATTATTCTTCTTCCTTTAAAAAAAAAAAAAAAAAAAAAAAAAAATTTTTTTATTTTTTTTAACTAATTTTCTTTAATTTTAATATTTATACTATTACATCATAAGTAATTTTTGGAATGAAATTAATGTTCTAAATATTAATAAAATTTATAATCTTTTACAAAATTTTTTAGATAATTGGAATATCTTTACAGAAAATACTAATAAAGCTTTGAATAATTTGGAAACTAATAATGAAAATACATCCTTAAGTTTACAATATGAAACTACTCAAAATAAAGTACCTAATAAATAGCAAAATTTGAATATAGATGAAAACTTTGAAAATAGTTTTGATGAAAGCTCCTCTGATGAAAATAATAAATAATCAATAATTGATAAAATCAAAAAGGACTTACAACATGAAGTTGATAATAATACTGAATTTACTTCACCTTTTGAAGGCTACAAGGATTATAAAACCTTCAAAAATATTGTTTATAAAATTGAACAACTTGGAAAATGTAAAGATGTCAACAAGCAAAAGTTGGAAATAGTCTACTATCTTGGTGAACTAAGGACCAAAAACTAACTTAATAATAAGTTTATTTGAAAAATAAGAAATAAACTAATAGTAAAGTTCAACAAATCCAAATCTAGAAAAATTTGAAGGTATTCACTTCAAATATACAAAATTTATACAAAATTTGGTTTAGGACAATTTTACAAAGCAAAATTTATTAGTATTCAACTTATTAAAAAACTAAAACAAACTTAATTTGATCAAATTTTAGTTTAAAAATTTTATTAAAAAAATAAATTTCAAAATATTTACAACAACTCTAATTGCATTCTGCAAATTTCATCTTCCAACTCCCCTATTTTATCTCTTAATTTCTTCTTTTTTCTCTCTTGATAAACTTTATATCTGTCAAATTTCTTTTACATATGATCTAATTGATTCTTCTTTTTCTCTATACTATTTTTATAACCTATTATCATCTCATAAACTACATCTATTCCTTTCACTTCTAAAAAATTTTCATACTCCTTAACTTTTTTCTCTAACTCTCTAATCTTCTTATCTCACTCATCTTCTTCTTTATCTTTCTCTGTATTTTCTTCACTGAACTACTCATCCTATTTTTTCTTTAATTCCTTATTCTCTTGCTTCAATTGTTTAATCTCTCTACTCACTAACTCCAAATTACTTTCTAATTCTATTTTTTCTTCATTGATATTTATTAGCATTTCCTCTATCTGCTCTTCCAAACTCTCTATCATATTTCTTTCCAACTTATTATTCTTCTTAAGCAAATCTATATTCATAAGCTTCTTCTCTATCAAATCTCTTTTCAACTTTTTATTTTCACTATTTATTATATAATATCTTTCTCTATTATTTTTCAACCTAAACCACACTGCTTCTTTATACCTCTCTGTCAAAATAAATAACATATCTTTTTTTTTCTTTTTTTTTTCTTTTTCTAAACATCTCCTCTTTGTATCTCTACTTTTCTCTCTCTTTTAATTAATCTAACTCTTGTTTCAAAAACCTAATTTCCATATCTCTCTTTCTTACTTCACTATCTCTTCTGACCCAAGATTTAATATTAAAATACTATTTAATCTTCCTAAAATACTTTTTCTTGACAACTTCAACATTCCATCTTTAAAAAACTCAGTAGATAATCTCAATAAATAGTTTGAGAAAATTTTCTCTACCTATTCACACCAATTCAACAAAACTATTAATAAACAAAAAATACTTACTTATCTTAAACAGCAAATTAGACAATATTTTATTTTTTATTTAGCCAAACTCCTTCCAGAAAAATATTAAATAAAAAAACCAAATACTTGATATGAATACCAAATAGAAGCAACTCATTTCTCTAACTATCACACCCTTATATACACAAATAAAAAATGCAAATATCTAAAAACTACTAACGAGTTGGATAAACCAAACACTGAAAACAAGAAAAAAACAGAAACAAAACAAACCAAACAATATGATACTAACTAACTATTTAAAGTAGTTATAAAATACTCAGAAGTTGCTTACCTATCTGATAATAATAAATAGTAGAAATCTTCACCTCTAGATTTCTTCATCTTCTACACTGATAGAGAATATGAAGCTACTTTAAAAGCTAAAATACTTACTAAACTCTTTGATGATTTAGCTGACCAGGCAGAGAAATATATCTGCAAAGCTAATAATGTCAAAACAAATACTAAATGTAAAAACTACTACTTTTAACAATATCTAATAGCCTATCATAATCAGACTATACAAAATCATAAAATAAATCTCTTTAACAAAGAAGAAGGTATCAAATTCCTAACTAAACAACTAGTTGATACCCACTTCCTAGCATGAATAATTACATACTACGACATCATATTTAATAATACTCTAACTTACAAAACAATAACTGAATTTTACAAAACAACAGCTATACTAGAAGCTAAAAATATTTTAAAAGAAAAATTCAATATCAATTTTAAACCAGTTGAAATAGTAGATTTATTATTCTTAGAAATTACACAAACTCCTCCTTTTTAGTAAGCTTGTCTTCTACAAATCTATTAATTCCTTCTAATTCTGTAAAAGATATCTATATTGTAGCATTATTACTAATACAACTAAAACAATAAAGACCACTACTATGCTACAACAAATTTCTAATATACTTTAATCTTCTTCTTTTAAATAATAATCAAACTATTAAGTCCTTCCTTACTTACCTAAAATCTCTTAACTTTAATCATAAAACAATATTCTCTTTTAACTAATATTTAGTAAAGTACATATTTATACTTCTGACAACCTTCTCTTCCTTAAAAACTATTTATTTATAGAATTATACCAACTTCTAACATACTATAATTTACTACTCAAATCATAAACTAATTTATTACCACAACATACTAATCTTATATCTAATACATTATCTAATTTATCTCTAAACATTTACTCTACTCTTAATCTTAATATAGTAACTCATAATGTACAAGGCTTTAATATACTAATCAAAAAGCAGCTTTGAGAAGAATACTGCCTTAATAAAAACTTTAATATTGCTAGTATCACTAAAACTAAACTAAATACTTTACGTTTCTAAAAATTTCTTAATACTAAACAATTTTCATATTTCTAAGCAAGCCTTGATAACTCTGCAGAAAGAATTGCACTCATAGTTAATAACAATCTCAAACTATATATTCACAATATATTAACATACTCTGGAAGTACTATTGCTATTGACCTCCTCTTCAAATATAACTTTAAATTTAGAATTATATCTGTATATCTGTCTATATCTAACAAATCCCACAGAAATTCTGCTCAAGAAAAAACTAAGCAATGGATTCAACAAGCTCTAAATCTAAACCTCTTTCCTATAGTTCTAGGTGACTTTAATACTTCTACAAACTTTATATATACTACCTTCTCCAAAACTTGTCTACTATTTTATTTACATAGTATTAATATTATAATATAGTAACTAGGCTTAACAATTTTATAGATTCAAAAAGAGTTGTCATTGCTAGCTAAACCTAGCAACTAATTACTTAACTTAATGAGTTCAAGAGTTAAAGAATAAGTTTATAAAGTTTATAGATAATAATAGTTTATAATAAAATGATAAGATCACTTTAGAGACAATAATACTTGGTTTTGATTTATAATTTAAATAGTTTATTGATAAATAGTTTTATAAAAAAATAGATGTAAAGAAAATAGAAGAATATTCAAAGAAGATATAGGATAAAATATAAAATAATAGAAGATAAAAGATATAAGAAAGAAGATAAAA